TGATTCAATTCAATTTTTTTCGCGTCCAACACATATAAAAAACAACAAAAGTTGGGCGGATGAAATGTTTTAATTTTTTTTTTTTTTTTTTTTTTGATTTTGTTCAATCAAATATCCTGAATGACGCCTGCTCTGTTTGATTCCTTCTGAATGATAATGATCGACTTTTAGCAATGAAAATTGTATATATGCATTCTTTTTTTCGCTATATTTTTACTGGTTCGCCTCTTGGCGTGATTATTTTGTTTTGCAATGATTTTGATGGTTGAAAATTGTTGATGGGAGATTACACGCGAACAGAGGAAAAAAAATCTTTCATTATTATTTATTTATTTTGATTTTGATGTCGTTCAAAATGTTTATAGCAAAAAAAAAATAAATCTATGTTTATTTTGATTAATCAACGAAGTATATATTGAGTCATCATCAGGAATGAAACATTTGAAAAAAATGATTATAATGCCATCTATTGATTTTATTATCAATTTTTATCAATTTTAATTTTTTGAAATTCATAAATCACAATTCATAATCAATCGATGTTAAGAATATAATCATTTATCATAACAACTAAATCAATAGATTTATTTTCATTTTGTTTTTTATTAGCATATTCTAATGCTAATTGATATAATTGTCCAACAGTGAATGATTGTAGAGATGTTTCAAATAAAGTTTTTATTAAATCAAATTCATTTTTTAATCGTCGATCTTCATATGTAAAATATCGTAAATTTCGTTCGGATTCAGATGCAGCAATAATCTGTATGAGTGTTTTTAATTTAACATCACCATTATAAACACCACATCCCCAATTTCCAGTAGCAATAGCTACCGACTTTGTTTTTGTACATAGAAAACGTTCAGATTGAAAAGCAGCCATTGCTTTGACAATTTCACGATCAATTTTTTTCTTTTCATATTGACTTTTTTTCGTACTCCAATGAAAATAAAGAGCATCCATTGCTAATATCTGTCGAAAACGACGACCATATTTATCTCGGTTTTGTTGATCTTCATATGAACATTTCCATTTGAATTTTTCTGCATAACCGTTATATTCATTGTATTGTTCAATACCAGTTATAACAATAGATTCATTATCGGATAATTTAGCACAAATCAATTTGCTAACAATCAATTCGGGACAACAAACAAATAAAATCTCTTCTTGAACACATCCTTGATCAAGAACACCACCGCCAATATATTTATGTGCAAAATCAACTTGTGAATAATCACAGCCATCTTTTAATAGACAAAGATCATGATTAAATTCAAATGTCGTTATAGGTTTTATTGATTGTTCCAGATTTGTTTGATGTTGTAGAACTTTACGTTCAAAACTAACAACACCAACAGGTGTTTTATCCACTACACGTCTTAGATAATTAAGCAGACATTTAAGTTTTTCGAGTTTACAGAATTTCTTATTCGGTTTACAACCATCGCTTGCAAAAAGGCTATGTTGAAAAAAAATTCAATGAACAAAATGAATATAAAAGTAATGGAAAATTACCTGGAAAAATTAATACATCTCCGTTCTTGACGAGAAGAATCTGGTGAATATGTACAAAGAAATCCATTAGCCAATAATGAACTAATTTGTTGTTGTGATAAAAATATTGATGTCGGTGTATTTTGTTCAAGATTGGCAAGATTAAAACCAATTAATTGGGGTAAATCAAGGGCTAAACGTATGATACCAGGTAATAAATGATCAAAAAACAATCGACGATCATCATCATCTATCTGATAATGAACATAATTGGTTAATATATCAAAATGTATTTTTTGTAATGATGGATTATATGTTTTGATTGCTTTATCAAGTTGAAAAATATTAGTAATTTTGTCAGAAAAAATTTTCTGTATTAATGACCATTTAGTATGTTTACTATTTTGATAGGTGATTTCCTTTGATTCTTGAAATGGTAACGATATATGATTCAAAGGAATAATAAAATCATCATCAATATCGGTCAATGGAACTGGTATTGTATCGGGTTCAAATGGATAATTATAATAAACATATGTTCTATCAATATTTCTTAGATCACAAAGATTTTCATCGATAAGAACTTCAGATAATCGATACATTCGATTATCGTTTTTGAGGTTATTGATAATGGACGAATTATCGATATTATTCGTAAGTTCATTTGTTTTATCTTCATATTGTTTGTCGTCATGGTCAACATTATTATGTTTTCGTTCAAAATAATCGGTAATTTTCATTTTTTTCATTTTCAAAAATTGTGTTTAACTTGATGACACTCAAAAAACAAAAACAAACATCAGATACAGCTGACATCTATGATCGGAAGACTAAATCAGTGATTGATTTAAACTTTTAATCATCAATGATTTGACATATGTGAAATTTTTTTTCATATATCCATAATCGAATCAAATCAAATCAATCATGATGGATTGGAATAAAGATCTGGTATGTATCTATTATATCGTTTCTTTTGAAAATTATTTCATTTAACTTTTGTAATTAGTGGATTTACAATTCGAATAACAGCACCAACAATGTAAATGATGAGCCAATAAATTCCTTGATAATCACAGATGATAATGATGAAGAATATACTGAAAATCAACATATTAGCCGATTGGATAATATGAAACAACGAATGTATCGTTATTTTCGTCGATTATGCAGATTATTTGTAACGATCAACCTGATCATCAATATTATTATAATTATCTATTTATGGTCAATGAACATGTCATTAATTAGAAATTTTTGTCCGCATCATGATTGGACGGAAATTCTATTTACCATTTATCTAATAGCCGGTGGAATTATAGCTGTTTATTTGGTTTTACATCTGAAATCGTATTGTTTATTATGGATATTTCATTTGACAATTTGGCTAGCAATCGGTTATCGTTTACAAACAACACGTCGTTATTTTGAATTCGAATTTACTGATGATGAATTGATATTCTATCGATCATTGTTAATGCCATCGAATAAATTATTGGCGATCGGTGAATGTGTTATCGGATTGAATATATGGTTATGTCTTGTTTATATAATGAATTTTTTCGGTACAATTTTTCTTATTTTATCCAGTTTAATACCATCAATGTTTCAGGCATTTTGTTATGTACATCATCAAATTTTTAATCAATGATTTATTTTTTTCAAACAAAAAATGTTTATAATATAATCACTTTGTTTGTGTACGGCTCTTGATGTGGGCCAAAGATTCGAATGTTTTTAAGATTCGAATAAATTCTGTTTTAGTTAATTGTGAATCATTTAATTATTTAAATATGAATTGGACCGGTGGTCATTTGAATAAATTTCGACGACGAAAAATGACCCGTAAAGATTTTGAAAAATTAAAAATTGAAGAAAATATTAAACGTCGACAACAGGAAAAATGTTTGAAAGCAAAAGATAAACAATCAAACTATTCGAAACCAGTAATTTTGAAAGGAATTTTTAATCAAACAATTATCCGTTCAAAGTATTTTGAATTACATGACAATCTCCTATCAAAACCTGTCGAATTGATCGAAAATAATAATAATGATTGTCAAGATGAAAATGAACATCCCAATAAAGGAAACGATGAACAGATTGTCATACCATTCAAAGAATTTGCTGAAATTTATCCCGAAGATGAAATCAATCCAGATGAAAATCGTATTGTTTTTGAACCAAATGATTCGGAAAATGATGATAATATATGAGGTTGATTCTATTTGTCATTTAAACCGGATTCAAAAAAAAACACAGTCCATGACAATGTCCAAAATCCATTATCACTAAAGTACCTCATTAATTTCATTAATCATTATTGTTGGCATAATGACAATTAACTTCTTGATCACATAATAATAATCATATAATTTCAGAAGATAAATTATCATTATCAACATCATCATCTTGAATAATTTATAGTGAAAAAAACAATTTTAATAACAAAATCAAAATTCTTTTACTTTTTTTAAAAAAAATTATAAGTTGTTTTTCAAACAATAAAATACATTATAATTACTAATCATTTATGATTTTATTATATGATAAGATTTCATTTAAATACAAATTGAAACTCGTGCGAGGATTTAAAAATCTTTATCATTTTTTTTCAATTTTATAATTTAAAATAATATGATTATTTTCAAATTGACAAGTATTCAGTGTTATTTGAAAATATTGACACTATTAGTGTGAATTTCAAATTCTTGTTTTTTAAAAAATTATAATTTTGATTTTATTTTTTGATTTTTTTTTTCGTGGAAAAAAAATTAAGATTAAGATTGTGATTGATTAGAGCTAGAAACTTTTTCTGGTGAATTTGGTGAACCTCGTCGTGGTTTTGATCTTTTTTTTCTTTTACTGGTTTTTTTTCGTTTTTTTCTTCTTCTATTCGGTGATGATGTTTTCTTATTAAGTAACATATAATTTTCATCAAGTTTTTGTCGTAATAATCGTTCAATAACGACATCAACCAATTTTTGTTGTTTATCATCAACCATTTTTGAGTCTTGTTTAGTTTTTCCAACCCTCCATTCAAATATTGATGATCGTATTGGTCGTAGTGTATCTTTCAGTACCGGTATCGTTTTTATATCACACGATGGTAAGTCAGCTTTTAATGATGGTGACATACGAATTTTATATTCAAATTTTTTCTTCGATCTCATCGATGAAGTTGATTTATAAAGTTTACTCATAGAAAATTTAACTGTTGGTGATGGTTGAAAATTTGATTCGGTTTGTTCATTATTAGTTATCGATGATTTTGACATTCGATGACGACATTGTGTCAATTTTCTATAATATTTATCATAATCATCATCATCACTATCAACATTCACATCATCATCACGCGGACTACGACGACGACGATGACGTTTTGGATGACGATTACGTTTACCTAAATTTTGTTTGCTAAGACATTGACACATTTTAAGTCAATTCTTCAACACAAATAAAGAATGTTTCGAAATGAATAAAATTTTCATTAACGATATTTATAAATCGTATTTTAATCGAATTAAATATGAACAACGAAAAAAAAAATTCTAAATAAATATTTCGATTACGATTTTTAATTTTACATTAATATTTCAATAATAATCTAATTTTGTTGTTGTTTTTTTTTTGTTGTAATTTTATCATTATTAGCCAATGGTATTGGACATTTTATTTGTTTGTATTATAAGACCGATTGAATGAATGAATGAATGAATGAAATGTGTGAAATGAATAAATTGTTTTCGTTTCGTTTCGTTTTGATTGACGTTGATCACCAATGACAATCATTTGATTATTATTATTATGTAGATTTTATTTATTTATTTACATTTGATATATTTTTTTCCATTCAATTCATATTTTAATTTATGTTTTCTTATGATCCAAAAATTAATTGAGTGTATGTGTCAAATGTTATATGGATCAACAACAACAAATAAATTGAATAAGAAAAACATGATTTTAAAAAAATGTATTCAAATTGCCTTTATAACAAACAAACAAACAAACAAATCCCGAATAAATAGATTTCAGATGTACTTCGACCTTTGAGAGAGAGAGAGAAAAGAAAGGTCAACGAAAAATTATATTGGATCAAAATTAACTATAGGAGAAAGAAAAACATTGGTATAACAATGTTATCACAATTGGATTTTGTGTAATTTTTTTTTTGGATCCACTAACACACACAGTGTGAATAAAGAAAGGTACCCCTGCCGGCTGCAACAAATTACAATTTCATTTTTAGGATTTTTCTTTTATTATTCAATTTTATTCCCTACGCAATTGTTGTTGTTGTTACTGTTGTAAAAAAAATGAATGCCCTGAATGAATATTAAATTTATGATTTTTTGATGTTATTCATTTTGTCATTTGATGATATCAAGATTGTTTCAATTATTTCAATAATAATATTAATCGAATCATAATGATGATGATCATTATCATTTTTTTTATCATTTATCTAGAATTGAAAACCATCATCATTGATGAATGATGAATAGAATAGAATATAGTACTTAAGTTAATGATGATGATGATCTTGTCATTCATAATCATCATAAACATATAACGATGATAAAAGTGGCCACTTATTTCCCAAAAAATGAAATTCATTCATTCATTGATACAAAGCAATGAAATTCATTCAAAATATCAATTAGTATGTTATTCAAATGTTTTATTGATCTGGTTTTTTTTTTGTTTGAAACAATTTTACTTACGTTGAAACATCTGCTTATCATTGTGTACGATATACTCTTAGTTTTGTTTATAAGTTTTCATTATAAGTATTTTTCAAGTGGAAGTGTGTCCGTTATCTCTCTTTTTTTCTCTAAACAAAATACATTTTTTTTTCTCATGAATCATTTTTGATTTTTTTTCAAATAGATTTTGATTTTTTGTTTGTTTGAATGATCAATTTTGCTGTTTTCAAAATAAAAAAAAACCACAAAATTGACCACAAGTGACCATAAGTTTGATGTTCGTGACTGATTATTTCAACGAATGTGAATGTTTTCTTTTGTTGAACCTTAATTCATTCGTTTCATTCAAAAAAAATACCGTTTTTTTTCTGCAAAACACATCATCTCATTCATTTTGGTTTCATTAAAAATTCACTGAAATCATTGAATATAATGATTTCAACAAAAAAACTATAGTTGATTTAGTTGCAATGTTCGTTGTGTGTATGTGTGTTCAGATTGTTTTGTTGCCAAATTCTGTAATTACGAATTGTTGAGTGGATAAATAATTTTTTTTTCAATTCTAGAATTCCGGTGAAAAGATGTGCAAAAACAAAAATTCATGAGAAAAACCGGAATTTGTATTTTTCCTGTCTATCTGAAATGTGTATCAGACCAAATGTTTCTTTTTTATTTACATGATGATGATGATTTATACACTCGATAAAACATGCAAATTACCCGAAAATCAACATTGATTGTTTTTTCCTGTTAAGGACTTTATACTTTATTCATTAGGGTTATTTCATTTTTTATTCAAATAAATAGATTTTTGTGTCGCTGCTTAATAGAAACGAAAAAAAAATTAAATCGATGATTCGGGAACGGAATCGGATGAATGAATCAAAAATGAATGAAAGAAAGAATTTAAAATAACCCATTCAATTGAATTTTGAATGATTTTGTTGTTGTTGTTGTTGTTGTTGAAAGTCAGAAACAATAAATGAAATAATGTTTTTCATTTCATTTCACTTTCATTTGAACGATTGTGTGCAATGCCTCAAGCCTTATTTTTTTAATTCAAAAACATCATTTTTCTATTTTAGTGTATTCATAACCCAAAAATAGAGAACATACGGATATTCCTACATATCCGTATAATGTTTACAATTTGAATTTGAAATTAATTTCATAATCATCTATATATGTTGATGATGATATTAATTACTTTGGGTAAATTGGAAGAGAGAGAGAGAGAGAAAACACACGAACTATACATAAAATCAGGAGAAAAACAAACATACACAATTTATTTGATGATGATGAAAGGTATTAATTTTTCAATTAGTTTGTAAAACCATATACATCAAATAGCTTTAGTTTTTTTTTCTTCCAATTCAATTTTCATATTCAATGAATTATTTCATCAATTATCTATTTTATTCTAGTTTTTTTTCCAATTTTTTCCATATGATTTTGAATTCATTCAAATTTTCTTTTTTCCACTGTTTGATTTTCATCAATTTTCCATTTTTTTTTTTTTTTGTCTTTGTTGAACAATAATTTTTTTGTTTTGTTCCTCCAAAAAAAAAACAAAACAAAAGCAAAAGTCGCTAATGAATAATGATAGTTGATTAAAAATTTGAATGTCAAATTGCTTCAAGCATTTGATATAAAAACAAAGCAAAGCAAAAAAAAAATATGAAATGTTTGAAATTGAAATTAATTTTTCAATAAAAATTGAAGAGGAAAATGAGAAAAAAACCTTAAGTCAATAGGTACATAGATGCTACAATCACTACCGGTTATTATTATTATTATTATCAAATAACAGTTAATTTTGGAAAAACATGTGATTTAGTCCATTTTTTTCATTCAACAACTAAAAAAAAAATTCATTTTCAATCAAATTCATTTTCAATTTTGATTCAAATTTCAAATAAACAATATCAATTTTTTTTCTTTCAATAACTTTTATCGATTTTTGAAACAATCTTTGAATATTATTCATTCAGGAAAACATAAACATACTGTGGTCAGTTTTGTTTTGTTTATATCACAAATGTAAACAAATGTAACATATCTGGATCACATATTGTGTATCATGTGAAATTTTTCATTTTATTGTTTTGAATTGTTGTTGACAAACAAACAATCAAAATAACATTGTTATCAAATTTTTTCAACCACATTTACTTATTAGCGATTCATTTCATAGTAATATCATTGATATACACACAGGCAAAACAATATGTAAAGAAAAAATGAAAATTTAAATTTTAATAATAATGAAAACACATTGAGATTACAATTGTGTGTGTGTTTACCATCAAAATATCATTGTCAAGAATTTTCAATCTTTTCTCTTTCTCCTGGTTTCAAAAGCAACAACAACCAATTTGAGTTTCTGAACGATCAATTGACTCTATTTTTTTCCTGTTTGTTTGTTTGTATTCATAGTTCCATTTTTGGGTGTGAAAAATTTTTTCCCGATTCATTTCCATATTTTGTTTGTTTGTTTAGTCAAATTTTATGGAAAATCAAAAATTCAAATTTTTTGTCGGACTGTAATGATATTGATCCCGATTTTCTTTGGCTACTTTTCAACCACTAAATCTCAAATCCCATATCAAACTAATTAGCCAGTATAATCTATATTCTATCAATTCATTTTCAATAATATTACTGGAAATGTGATTCGATTTTCAATTGAATCAATTGGATCGATCGATTGAACAATTGTAAATCAATTGCCATTTGATATTTACTGCCTATGATTGGATGATTCATAGTGTTATAAAGGCGGAGTTTAAAGTTTTATTTTTTCATTACCAAAAAATTGCCATAATAATCTTTTATGAATGAAATAAATTATCATTTATTTTTCTTTCGAAATCATTTTCAAATGCTCAAATTATCTATCGTTGATTTGGTGATTATTTAAATTGTTGTTGTTGTATTTTTCCATTCAATCAACCAAAAAAAAAACGACGAAAAGAAATAAAAAAAATGGGCGGAGTATAAGAATATAAAATGGGAGGATACATTTTTATGGCGCGCAGAATAATTTTTTTTTGCCAATTCAAAATCATTCATTCATGATGATGATGATGATAATGAACAATCATTTTGGATCATTTGTTAAATGATCATTGAATCGATTAAATAAATCACTTTTTTCATTTTTTTCATTCATTCGTTTGTTATATAAAGATACATTTTTGGCTAACAACTACCATTAGTATTGTTGATGTAATGTCAAACAAATCAATCAATATTTTAACTGTCGATACAATTATGGATGAAGATAATGTTCAACAAAGTTCACCACCATTAATATCATCATCATCATCATCAATAATGGATGGTAATGATTTATGTTTATCCAAAAAATTGTCATCAAATTCTTCAACATCATCGTCATCATCTTCATCGTCGTTAGAAATGAAACAACAGCTACAAAAATTAAATCGTAAAAATCATCATAGCTCATTTTTGATACGTGATCTATTAATGTCGAATGATGATGATGATAATGATAATCAAAATAATGATCAAAATGATCAAATTACAACAAACAATTCCGATGAAAATGATGATAAAGAAGAATTGAATTATAAAATTGATCAACTATTTCAACATAAACAACATTCAAATTCAATGAATAATAATGAAACATTACCATCATCATCATCATCATCAATGATCGATGTACAATCATTTTTATTTGGTAATCATAATCCATTTTTACCAATCTATAATCATCATCATCATCATCCGAATAATTATTCGCAACAAAAAAATTTAATTGGCTGTATTAGTAATAATAATTTATTATCAATGGCTAATCATAATCAATCAACAACAACGTCAACAACAACAAATTTATTATCCAAAATGATACAACAACAACAACAACAACAACATGATGACCATAATAATCAAAATCGTACAATAATGATGGATTTGAATGATATGAATCAAACGTTGACAAAATGTAAGTATTAAGATTGAATATTGTTTTGTTTCCGAATAAAACGTGTGAACTTTCTCACACACCACTGAATGATAATAACAGGGTTAAATATTAGGCACCCACGCAATATCGTTTTATTGTTGTTGTTTTTATGAATGACCAAAACATGACCAAATCTTTTATTTTGTTCCGATAAACCAGAGAAAAAAACATAAACATTTTTTTATTTTGTTTTGATTTCCTTTTTTCTTTTAAAATTTCCAGATAAAATAAACAAAAAAAAACAGATTTACTGTGTTGTACAGTTAGGAAAACAAAACAAAATCACAATGAAACACAGTAGGGTGTTTTTGGTTGTTATTGTTGTGAATGGACATTGTCCATCAGGCAACAAGTTTAGAAAATCGATTTTTCCAAACTTTCAAATCAATAATTATTGATTGGAGTGATTATTGTTGTTGTTGTTGATCGATCAATTGGAAAAATAAACAACAACATTCATTTTGATTCATTGTATTGTTTGTGTGAAAACGCTGCACGCGTTTTCAAACTAATCAAGCTAATCATTTTGGTTTGAAAAATTTTTAAATCATTTCTTTCTTTCTTTTTTGGAGTACCTCGTGAAAGAAAATTCATAAATATTTTTGCACATATAGTTAGCACTCTCACAGTGGTGATGGTGTTTTTGAGGGACATGAAATGCTACAAAGTTGATTATATAAGAATTGCTGAACAGAATGGATGATAAATCAATTTTGAGATTTTTTCCTTTTCCAATATAAAAATACAAATATCAAATTACTTATGGACCAATTGACTTTCAAATTTGACAAATAAAAAGCAAACACACGCAGAGAGAGTGAGATGTGAAAACATAAATGCCACATTTGGGGACCATTAAGTTTAATTTTAGTTTTCAAACTGTGAATTTGTGTTTATTACCCAAATGATTACATCATAACCAATTTTTTTCAGGCACAGATGTCACACTTGATATACTTGATAATCATTGTCCAATTTTTTTATTGTTGAATGAAATATTGAGTAAAAATGGAGCCTCCTGTGAAGTAACAAAAAAAATTTAATGATTAGATTTATGCTAATTGGTCTAGGCTAATATTCACAACAACAACAAGTGGTACTATAGTGGTGTTGATTGTTACTTGAATAGATTTGTTGAATTTTAAATTTTCATTGTATATCCATTATCATTAGATTTTCGATCATCACCGGTAACAACATCTTCATTATTAAATCATTTGGATGTTGATAATGTCAATAATGGTTCGTTGATAACATCGATGATGAATAAATTAACATCACATCATCAACAACAATCACATGCAATGATATCATCATTATCATCATCATCATCGACAATCATTGATCCAGAAACAAATTTTATTACAAATTTGAATAGAAAAGGTAATAACCATGGTAGTATATCAACAATAGATGGTAGTTGTTATACAAATTTTCCGCTTAGTTTACCAATTACAATTATGCCATCTTCTGTAAATCAAACAGAATTATCGAATATTAATGATAACAACAATAACAACAACAGTAACAGTAAATATTCAAGATCAATGGATGAAAAATTTCAATTCTTAGCTAACGCTGCAGCGGCTGCTTCTTCTTCTACAGTTACATCTGCCAACCAGATGCGTTCAAATAATAATTCGGATGTAAATATTAAGGAACAAAACAATCATCATCAAATGATACCGACAAATCATAATAGCCATAGTACATTACCGACACAATCGAAATCAAACCCAACAACATCATCATCATCATCATCATCATTAACGACAATGAAAAAACAACGCAGAAGGCGTACAGCATTCACACAAGTAAATATTCAATATTTTTATATAATGGTCAATCTAATTTATATATTTACCGGATATTATATTTTGTTTTGGTTTTTTATATTTACTATCAATAATGATACTATTAGGCACAATTGAATTTTCTAGAGAAACGTTTCCTTGAACAAAAATATTTGACCGTTGCTGATCGTGGTCAAGTAGCTGATCAATTGAATCTATCGGAAACACAAATAAAAACTTGGTATCAAAATCGAAGGTAATTTTTTTGTTTGTTGATGATGATTGAATTGTTTTTTTTTTGAAATTTATTACAATTTTGCCTTTGATTTTGGATTGCTGATTGCATTAAATTGTTTTTTTTTATCAGAACCAAATGGAAACGACAAAATAATGTTAAATTGGATGAATTACGTTATAATGGACCGAAAAATTCAAATTCAAAAAATCATCAAGCAGATTCAATTAACATTATCAATAATAACAATGTTTCAGCAAATGATCAACAAAAACATCAACAACAAACAAATGAATCAATTCTAATCGATCCGGTTAATTTATTTAATACAAATTTCAAAGTACCTGCTTTGCATTCTGATAATACAGATTCGTCGTCATCATCATCATCATCATCGCCATCACCATCGCCATCACAATCACCAACAACATCATCATCAACATCATCAGAACAGCCACAACCAGCAACATTATCATCACGATATTTACAGCCATTTGTATCATCATCAAATAATAATCATTCAACAATGGATAATTTATTTGAAAAAATGATGAATAAAAATTTTCTAATAAATAGTTTAATGCATCATTCATTACAACAACAACAACAACAACAAAAATCATTATCACCAAAAATGTCTCCCATAATTTTACCCCATCATCATCATCATCATCATCATCATCAACAACAAATGTATGGTCAAACGAATTTGATGATTGATCGTCATTCATCATCATCACCACCACCAATTATGATGATAAAATCGGCAAAGAAAAAAAAATTATCATTACATCATCATCATCATCATCTTCATAATGATGATTAAAAACAATAAACATTTGAAACAATCTTGTCCGAACAAAAAACGGAAACAGAAACAAATAAAAAAATTTTTTTTAAAATCAAATTCAAATTCAAAAAAAGAAAAAGAAAATACCAAGAATCAACACAAGATGGCGATGTTTTCTGAGAAAAAAAATTCGAATATTTTTTTCCCATTCGAATTCATTCATTTTATTCGAAAAAAATTTTTATTTCATTTCATGTAATACAAAAACGATAAACAATAAACAATAAAAATCATGATTGAATGAAATTAATTCATTAACAACAATGTGTGTGGGGGTGTGTAGCAGAAAAAAACATTATTAACAATTAAATTTTAACGAAAACAAACCAATATTTCATCTGCTTTTTTTCCTTTCATTAGCTCTATCATGTGTCCTTCAATAAAAAACAACAACAACAACGTTAATTATTGTTAATTGTTTTTTTTATTTTGGTGGAAATGAAAAAACCGGTTTGTATGTTTCATATAATTACCCCATCAATGATTCATAATAAACAACAACAACAACAACATTATAACATTAGTTTTAGCTAATCATTTGTAATTTGCATCTTGATAAATGGAATTTTTACTTTTTTTATTCTTTCCATTTCTTAATCATTCAAAGCAATTGAATTGAATAAATAAATGTTTTTTTTCAACTTTTTACAGTTTTATTTAATTTTATTACTTTTATTTTAATATTATAAAATTACTTAATAGTAATTTACAAATTAATGATAAAAAATTTTGATTTTTTCGAGGAAAAAATGGCTTTTCAAACAAACAAAAAAAATCAATGAAATATTTATGAAAATGTTTGTTGATGATGGTAGACAACCTGATTGCTTCGTACTAATTTATCATCATCATCATCATCATCATCATCATTGATTACGAAATGTTGAATGACGTTTGATTTATCTATAAATATAAAAATAAGAAGCGTTGAATTTTTTGTTTGTTTGTTTGTTTGCTTATAAAGTTTTGATTAGCTTCTCTTCTTCATTTTGGGTTTTTTATTTATATGGCTAAATATCGTGAAATTAAATTTGATAAAATTCATCGAAAAATTATCAAGAAAAAATAAAGATTCCGAAAACGATGATTGATTTTTTTTTCATATCGATTATTCTCAGAAAAAAATGCCGAAAATCAAAAAAAGTGTTTGAACGAATTGCCAAATATTCAAATGGGATGAGGGAAAATATATAAAGATGTTTTTCTTTTCTCTCACTTTCTCATCATCATCATCATTGACAAATAATAAATGTGTTTGCGTGTGTCTTAATGATTTTGTTGTTGTTGTTGTTGTGTGAACCATACAGGAAATTTGTTGTGTACCCAAAGTTGCAAATAGTAATTATTTTCTTTCTCCCTCTCTCTCTCTCTTGTTTTTGCAAGTTCATTTTCTGTTATTCTTATTATCATTATCATCATTTTCGTTGATTAAAGTAATTTTTTGAAATCATTTCATTTCAATCGATTGATGATTTTTGTTTGTTTAAAAACATTTGAAATTCAAATCGACAAACAAACAAGTTGATTAAATTGAATGAATTTGTTTTTTTGAAAAAACAATAGCAAAAAAAGTTCGACTCATTTTTTTTGATTGTTGTTTACAACATTATTGTTTTTGGTTCATTTTACAAGATTCAAGAGAATAGAAAAATCATCATCATCATCATCATATAAAAATGTTAATAATAATTATTGATTTTATTTTACGACAACTTCGTTATATTGTTAATATATTTGCAACAATAATTGGATATATTTTTTATCCAAGTCAACGTGGTTATTTACCTGCAATCAAAAATGATCTTTTATTAAAACCGGCTACACAATTAGCTGATATGATTAAATCTGGTCAGGTATGCTGTATATATTTAAAAGTGATGATAATGAAATGCAACTTTGTATTTTATTTTTATTTTTATTTTTTTACTTTAAGCTTAAAAGTGTAGATCTAGTTCAAGCGTACATTGACCGTTGTAAACAGATAAATGGCGATCTAAATGCAATTGTAGATGATAATTTTGCCGGTGCATTACAAGAAGCAAAACTTGTTGATGAACGTGTTCAACGTGAATTGCGAGGAGAAAAATCCGCTGATGAACCATCAATACATGAATATCCATTTTTGGGTGTACCTTATTCGGCTAAAAATTCCATAGCGGTTAAAGGATTTGCATTCACATGCGGTGCATATCATCGTAAAGGAATTATAGCAGATAAAGATTGTACAACAATAATGAATATGCGTAAAAGTGGTGCAATATTTTTAGTTATTACCAATGTACCTGATACAACATTATTCAGTGATTCATTCAACTATCTTAATGGACGGACAAATAATCCGTATGATAAATCTCGAATACCGGGCGGTTCATCCGGTGGTGAAGCTGCATTGATCGCTTCGGCAGGTTCTGTATTTGGGGTTGGTTTTTTTAACCGATGACACTTAATTGAAACCAAAAAAATTATCACAAAAATTTTCCTAATTTTAGATTGGTTCTGATATTGCTGGATCGTTGCGAATTCCTGCACATTTTTGCGGAATATTTTCTCATTGTACATCACCTGGAAATATTGTTATCGATGAAATGTTTCCTTCAGTACGAGATGTTCATCCAAAAGTTTTGACTATAGGACCAATGTGTCGTTATGCATGTGATCTCCGACCGATGCTCAAAGTGATGACTGGTGATAAATTGGACCTTACAGAGAAGCCATTCAATTATTCAGATTTGAATGTATATTATGTACGAGATCTTGGTGATCCATTAGCATTATCGGTGGATGTTGAAATTCTTAATGGTTTAGATAAAATGATTAAACATTTCATTGAAAAGGGTACACGCACATTGGAACTAAATATGACAAAAGGTGATCCAAATTCATTTTATGATTTACGTTTGGCAACGTTATTCTGGTTGGCCGCCATATATGATCCTGAGATGCCTAACTTTCATGAAATAATCAGTCATGGTGAAAAAATGAATCCATATTCCGAATTGTTCAAATGTTTGATTGGTACACAAAATCGTTATGCTGCTGGTCCATTAGTGGTTGGTATAGTGCAAAAAGTTGGTTCAAAATTTCTTACAGAGAATTTTTTCAACAAATGGAAAAAAATCAAATCAAATATTCATCGATTACTTGGAAATAATGGCATTATATTATCCCCAATATCATCTGAAATTGGTAAGTCATAATTACCTTTAATTAATTAATCCTTATTTCTTTTTTCTTGTTTTATTGGTAGCTCCTAAACATAATCAAACATTGTTAAAAGTTTTTGATTCTATTTATACATCTGTATGGAGTGCATTGGATTTGGCTATGACAACAATACCGATGGGTATTGATCGACATGGAATGCCATTCGCCATACAAGTTATTACCGCACCAAACAATGATAAATTAAGCATAACAGTTGTGGAAGAATTATCTAAACATTTTGATGGCTGGATACCACCTTGCCCGGTAGATGCATCTAAATCATCATGATAACTTTGATAATTTATTAACTTGTTTTCAATGGTGTTTTCAAAAAAAAAACTTTATTAAAAAAAACAAAATCGAATTTACATTCAACAATATACCGAACTATAAAATAGTTTAATTTGATTTTAGATTTTTTTTCATTGAAAAAAAAATTCGATTACTGATACTCAAAATAAAAACATTTTCATTCTAACTTGAATATAAAAATTTTCTTTATTCAATAAAATTCATTTTGAACAAAATGAAATCATTACGTCGATTTCGTGAAAAATCTATGATTGTCACACCTTTCTTGATTCGTAAACGTAAAATTCGTTATGAAGAATCAATGATTATGACAACACCGACAACGGTTGAAAAAAATTCCCAAGACTTCTCGCCTACATCATTTACAAATTGTTCATCATCATCATCATCATTATCTCCATCATCACCAGGCCTACAAAATTTTCGAACAATGATCGATTGCATTGAACAAATCGAACAGGATAATCATCATTATAATCAACGTATTAAACATCGATTAGATTTAATCAAACGACAATTACGACAACATCGAAAAAGTTATTTTGATCAACAGAAAAGCTATCGTGATCAAATAAAAACGGACAAATTATTGACAGAAATATTGTTAGATCTTCGAAATAATAATGCTAGCATTGAAATGATTAAACAAGATTTGAATATGATAAAACGACAACAACAACAACAACAACAAATGACAAATGATGATCGATATCCAAATGAGGCGAAGGAAATCCTTCACGTCATACAATCAACATCATCAATGACAGAAAGTGGACAAAAACAAATTTCATTTCCTTTGATAATGTCGTCGAATGTTGGAAATTCTGACGATTGTCAAATTGAATTACCCAGAAAAATAAACGATAATGATGATAATCAACAGGATTATAGAAACGTCACTGATGACCTCGTTACTACACCATTAAATAGTTCACGTTTTATGTCCCATTCTATACTATCACCATCATCTTCATCGATTTGTATGGATATACCATCGAATGATGATGATGAAATGAAATCAATTCAACAGAAACTTCAACGTTTAAGGGAAACGGTTAAAAATCCAAGAATTAAACGAATGATTTTAGAAGGACAACAATTGATTACAAATGACGGTAGTTACATTATCAATAACATACAAAGAACACCAATAGAGAATGAGGCTATTGGTTGGGTTTTACATCCTATGATGACAATGATGTGTGAATGAAGAATAGGATGTCGGGTCATATTTTGTTGAATTTTTTCAAATTACAAAAAAATAAAAATAAAAATCTATATTCTGAACTTTGACCTGTATGAATTATCATTGAATACATTTTTTAGTCGTTATCGTTTTTTAAAATCATCAAAAAATGATATAAAAATGGTTTGATAGAACCAATAACAAAAAAAAATCAATAGAAAATGGCTACCAAACTATTGACAATCAGCTTTGTATTGACCATTATTATTATTGTCATATTGGTCAACAATAATCATCATGTTGATGGAACAATTTTAAGCCGATTATTGATGAGACGTGCTATGCGACGAATGGGTGGTGGTGGTAGTTTTGGTGGCTATGGTGGATATCCTTATCCGATGATTATGCCGATGGGTGGACCAATGCTTGGTAATCCATTTGGTGGAATTGGCGGTCATTATATGGGTCGATAAAATCATTATTTACAATGACGAATTGTATTTCTTTTCTTTTTTTTCAAATCATAAATATCAATTATTTCCAATGAAAGAAAAAAAAACAATGTTTTCATGACTTTTTGAATTCTATACCTATTGATAAATATCAATTATCAATTACAAAATAACAATAAACAATAATAAAAAACAGAATGAATGAGAAAATAAAATTTCATTGAAATTGTTCGTATTATTGAAATTTTGTACATATTTTGCAAAACAACGTCATTAGTTAAGGGATGATACGGATGGGTTGCTGCAATATCTGATGTTTTTTTTTGTTTTTGTTTTTTCCAATGATGTTGATGATGATGATACATTTTTGTAGAAAAAATATCAATATATAAACCACCAATCTATCGATCATTCAATCCATCAATTCAATCAACTATCAACAAACAAAATTAAATAATTTTGAACAAATTAAAATCAACATCAACATCATGAATATCAAAATATTTTCATTAATTTTTGTCTTGCTTGCCATTACCGTCGGTATTTCGGCACAATTTTATGGTGGACGTGGTGGTTATGGACGGGGTGGCTACGGACGAGGTGGCTATGGGGGTTGGGGACGAGGTGGTGGTTATGGTGGATGGGGAAGACGTGGTGGCTTCTATGGCTAATATCTAAAAAGTCCCTATAAAAAACCAAAAAATTCAACAATCATCGATTATTACATTGAATGTATCAATGATTTCTTTCAAATGCCATTGTATTAATTATGTATTCATCAAAATAGTCAAAATTATCAGACGATGATTTATTGACCAAAAAAATATTAAGAGCTCTAAATTTAATTTTTTCTTTTTTTTGACAAAACCGGATATAAATTCAATGAGATTGAATTGTTTAAATCTTTCCCTTTCAAACGACAAAAATGACAAATTGATAATATCTTAATCAAAAAAAAAAATTGATAAAAAAAACTAAAATTCATTCAATTTCCTTTGTTATCTGGCCAATGAATTTTGCTGCCGGTTTCTACTGATTGTAACTTATATATAAAAAGAATTTCTTTTTTTTTGAAAATGACAAAGTTCATTTGGTAATAAGAACAACAAAAATTGAACAAATTTTATTCATCATAATTATGAATTTTAAAATTATTTTGTTCTTTATCGTGGCTATCGTATTAGCTATGGCTGATGCTAGACTTAGATTGCGTAAAGGTGGCTATGGTGGTATCCATAATGGCCGTATATATGGAGGCGGATTTGGACGTCGCGACGGAGGATATGGAAGTATTGGACCAGGTGGTATTTATGGTGGTGGCTTTGGACGACGATAAAAACAAATTTTGACAAACAAACAAAAAAAAATTTTAACAAATCATTAACCCATTATTTGATGTTTATTTTAAGCAAAACAAAACAAAAATATTGTCCAATTTAAATGCAATAATTGAAAAATTTCAATTAAAAATAATGATTTTGATAATGATAAACAAAATTCCCAATTAAAATTGCAATTTCTTTTATTTTTTATTTTTTTTCATTCAATAAATTTAATGTTTCTATAATTGATGTAATAATCTGAACAAACAAATATAAATTTGTTTGCATTGAAAGATTCACCTTGATCCTTGAAGATTTGAAACAAACAAATTGGCAATAACATAGGAAAGAAAATTCACGTGTTCAAATGTGTGTGTGTCTGTTCAGTCAATAATAATGTTAATTCTATTTTGTTCGATTGCAATTCGTGATTCGTGTCTGCAAATGTATTATTGAATGTGAAATCAGATTTCCTCTATCCTGTTTTTTTGTTTGTTTATTTGTTTGTTTGGTGATGATGGCTAATAATAAAGGAAATTTCTTAGATAAGAATTGCAATAATAAATAACAACTTTTTTCAAAAATCAAATTTTAGCTGAGGATGTCCTGTTTGTCTGATTTTATTTTATTTTTGTTCTTCTTCTGAATGTTGCAAATTTCCCAGTTTTTTTTGTTTTGTTTGCTGTTGTTATCTTGTCTGCTAAACCAGAATAACGATGAATAAATAAGTATAAATATGGATTGTTAATCCATCATTCAACATCAATCGAATTAGAATTCAAATTCAATCATCAATTATCATCATTAAAAACAAACAAAATTTCAAATCAATCATGAACCGTGCATTTGTATTGTTATTTGCATTGATGGTTATTGTCGGTGCTGCTGTTACATCCGTTTCAGCACAATATGGTTATGGCCGTGGATATGGTGGTGGATATGGTCGTGGCTATGGTGGTGGATATGGACGACGATATGGTGGCGGATACGGAGGAGGATATGGAAATTATGGCCGTGGCGGTTATTATGGTGGACGAGGTTATTATGGCTAAGTTTCATTCATTCAATTAATTTATCCATCAAAATCTATTTAATTCTCAAATCAAGTTTATTTCATTATAATCTGTTTTTGTCCAATCTTTAATATTCTTGTCAAAAAACAAACATTTCTGTTTAAACTACCCGGGAAAGTTTGAAAAAGCCATGTAATCAAATAAAAAATCAAAAAAAAAACAAGATGATATCTTTCTTTTAATCAAATCACATGATGATGATGATGATAATGTTTATAAATGCTTATTTTTTTAGCATACCTGTGTTAATGACCAAACACACATCATTAACAATATAATCGTTGTTTAAGGTTATTTTTTTCAAAAAAACAAATTGACAACGATAATGATTTTGTTGTTGATAAAAATGTTGTTGATGCTAATGTTTTTTTTTCTTTCTTTTTGGCATGACAAACATCACGTTGAATATTTTCCTTCAATCCATTTAAATTGATTGTCAGCTGAATGATCAATGACTTTTTTCCGCCTAAAGCTAGAATTACAACAAAAAAAAAATCTTGATTTCATTGAATGACGATTGTGTTTTTGCGATTGTATGAAAAAAAAAATTTTCAATCTAACTTTAATCAACCTTTTTTCATTTGATTCGAGAATTCTGATTCAAGATTCTATAAAGATAATACGCATGCGACATTGTTTCTTTTTTTTTGGAAATGGAAACCTTTTTTCAATTTTTATATATAGCCAAGAAGAAGAAGAATCCGGTTTGAACCGGTTCGATTCGGTTTTTTGTTGTTGTTGTTAACACAAACTTCGTTTAATTGAAGTTCTCCTCTTTGACACTTTTAACACAACAAATTCATCGTTTTTTTTACACACACCCAAAATAATTTTCCCTATTCATCAACTCAATACCTAAAAAACCCATAAATGATTAACACTTCTCTCTTCATAAAGCTAAAAATATTCACCGTTCAAGCATGCATGGTAACCACAATTATGATGTAATTTAAAAAAAAAAATCTACAATCATCATCATCATCAAAATATGAAGAGGTTGGGAAATAGAGGGATTCTGGAAAAAACCTTGAATTCATAAAATAACATCCTAGGACAAAAATAAGAAGAAAATGAAAATGTGACAATCATTTGATTTTTATGGAAAAAAAATGTACATTTTTATCATTATTTTGTTGAGATATCATCACATGAACAAACACAATTTGTTATTTGAATTTTCCTTCAAATCATCATCATCAGATTGTTTATGAAGATGATGATGTTTACGTCAAATAATTGAATGGCAAAAAAAGGCTTCTGGTTATTATTTCAAATAAAAATGATGTTTAAAATTCGTCTTAATTTTCCAAATGAACAAATCGATAGATAAGATACGAAAATTCAACCAATATTGCTTGACATGATCTATATATAAATTCAATATAGAAACATTTATATATTTGGCGACGTATATATTTGATGTATATGTATTTCTTTTGTGGCTATTATCATCATGAGAGAATATACGCTATATATATTCTCTCTATTCAATTCAACTCTATCTGTATGACTATGTATGATCAATGTGAACAGCTATTTTAGGAGAACTCAGACAAAATTGTTTTTGTTGTTGTTTTTTGTTATTTAGATTTGCAGAGTGCGTTGCTATTTACCTGATAATATTAGTGTGTTCGATTCATTAGAATTCGATTCGATTTAGTTCATAATCTCTTATTTTTTATACGTATCATCAATCAAAATAATTAACAAACTCATCGTTAATTAGATTTTGTTTTTTTTTCTTCTTATAATTATTATTATTTACATGATTTTTTTTCTGTAATCAAACATTTTATATCACACTATGTACAATCATCAAATTGATTATGTTCGACAATTTTTGTCATTATTGCAGCAAATATCATTATTTTGGCAATTTTGTTACAAATGTAAATGTATTCTACAAAATGATAAGAAATGAAATGATAATGTTGAACGAATAGTAAAATTCAAATGTTTTTATTTTGATTTCTTTAATTTTCTTTTCCTTCTTTTTTTTAATTTGTTGTAATTTTTCCTATTATTAACATTTTTGTTCAAACAACAATTGAATTTTTTTTTCGTTTGTTTGTTTCGAAATATAACAAATAATTATATTAGGCATTTTCTCCGGAATTGTTTTTTGTTTTGAATTTTATTATTTTATTTGATAAAATTGTACACATATCGATAAAAAAAAATCAACAAACGATAATGTTAATATTTTTATTCATTTGAAAAAAAAAACATCAAGTAATAGTTTGTTTACTGAATTGTTGTTTTGATTTGTTTTTTCTCCCAAATTTCGAATGATAATGTACAAAAAAATATTAATGTTTTTGTTTACACAGAAATAGTACGAAAAAAAATTTGATCAATTCTAATTTTTTTGACAACATTTATCTCCAAAAAAAATCGGATGATTTGATATTTATATGTCTGTTTATATTATCCATTTTACCCATTTCAAATTACATAAATTTTTGTTCAGATCAATCAATTCAAATTGTTCGTATTTGTTTCGAAAAAAAATGTCTTCAACAATGAATTCATCATCATCATCATCTAAATCACCAATTCCATTTCAAACATCACCTGATGATTCGTTTGCATCCATTAATAATGCATTATCATCATCGTGTTCATCCATTTCATCAAATACTAGTACCATTTCGAATGATTCATGTTGTATGTTTTTGACCCAAAATATTTAGTCAAGTTTTTTCATTGATTTAAAATAATTAATTTTTTTTCTAATTTTTCAAACAGACACATCATTATCGGAAGGACAAATGGCATTACATATTATGTTATACAATTCGATAAATATAATATCAAAACGATTTTCACAGACAAAAATCTATTGTAAATTCAATAGCTTTGAAATGGATTCGATTGATGAAACTCTGGATACGGCACATGATGATGATTTGGATCATTGTATGGATCAATATCCATTTGATGTGGCTGCCATGAATGATTCTGAATATAAATTCAAAAATCAAAATCTTTTTGGACGTTTAATTCAAACGAATGAATTTGTAATTGTACGATGTAAAATTCCTTTGACTGGCAATATTGTAAGTTGATTGAATTTTGTTGATAAATTCTTTTTTTATTGATAATGAATTGCAATTAAATAGGGTATACGAGTTGATTTATTCCAAAAAATCGAAATGAACGATAATAGCAATGGTGATGGCCATGATGATTATAATAAAATTGCTTTTGGTTATATCTATCCGGTGAATGCCAGTGAAAGTAGTGGAATGTTTACCGTTCCGATCACATCGAAAATGGGCAAAATTATTGCTCACTTCAAAGGTATATTTGTTCATCAATTCACAATCATCTTCCGTTTTGCAATTTGAAATTTTATTCGAAATTTCGAAGCCGAATATTTCATTACAAAACCATACAATGGCATGGCAATCGAACCGATTAAATGGAAATCAAAGATACGAAACATTAAAAGCTGGCAATTGAAAAAGACTGGTTTTGATATTGGTCATCGAGGTGCTGGGTGTGCTCGTCGTATCGATAGTTGCGAGAAGGTTTTGGAGAACACAATCGATTCGTTTAATTATGCATTCAAAAAGGTAATTATTTTGAAAATCATTTAATAGGAAATTGATTTTGGCAATTTTTACTGAAAGGGTGCTGATATGGTCGAATTAGATGTACAATTGTCAAAAGATAAAATACCAATCATTTATCATGATTTCAATGTGAATATTGTTATTCAACAGGCAAGTTTTTAATTTAAATAAAGCACAAAAAACAATCATTATAATTAGTTATATAAAATGTTTTCAACATGATAGAAAGATCAAATGGCCGAAAATTTTCAGATGAACATCAAAGATTTAACCTATGAACAGTTACAAAAACTAAAGTTACGACCATTACAACGACATGGAAAAGAATGTTATGATTTTGATGGTGATATTAACAGTCCACATGGCCTTCCATTTGCAAGTCTTCAAACAGTGTTGAAATCAGTTGAAGCTAATTGTGGCTTCAATGTGGAAATAAAATATCCACAGAAAAAAATTGTAAAATTAGATTTTGATTGAATTTTATTCATTTTTTCAATTAATGAATTCCAATTTACTTTTGATAAAAAAAATAGAATGGCGATTGGGAAGCGGAAAAATCACATGACCTAAATGAGTATGTTGATTTAATCTTACAGGATTTATTTCTTTATGCTGAAGATCGAAAAATTATCATATCATCCTTTCATCCGGAAATATGTTCAATGTAAGCTTTCAAACATTTTTTTATTATTAATTCATCTCAATTTATTTTTCAAAATTCAAAGGGTAAAGTTGAAACAAGATCGCTATCCAATATTGTTTCTCACTCAGGGCTTGACTACTAAATGGACAAAATATCATAATCCATTGAATCATTCAATTGAAATGGCAGCTTATCTAGCATTATGTATGGATTTGTATGGTGTTGCTGTACACGCCGAAGATATTATCAAAAATTCAACATTAATACGTTTTGTAAAATCTAAATCCTTGGTACTTTTCTGTTGGGGTGATGATCTTAATGATCGTGAACTAATTAAAAAACTTAAAAAAGAAGGAATCGATGGAGCTATATATGATAAGTAAGTTTTGTTCATCGATGAGTTTTTCGATTAATTCAGAATTTTGTTTTATTTTGCCCATAGAATCGATTTATTGATTTCCAAGCCGGAAAGTCATGAAAATCCTAGTTGTACAATGTCACCACCAGTATCGTTGAATATTAATTGAAAAAAAAATTGTTTCTATAAAATTGATTGTACACCATAATATAGTGTTTTTCAAATTGTTTTTATTCAAATACTTCAATTTTAATATTATCTAATTGAAAAAAATAAACTATGCTTTTTAATTGAATTAATCAAACATGAATCAATCCGTTGATTGAAGTGTTGTGATTTGTCTAAATTTTCATTCGAATATGGTTGAATGATTTTCCGTCAATGATTATTTATCAATTTTTCAAACAAAGAAAATAATTAGCCAATTTTCTCTTCAATCATGCACAGACATACACAGGACGAAAAAAATTAATGTATCATTTAAAAAACAAAACTCCATAACAAACAAAAACTATCTTGGTGACACCATTTTAACTAAATGATCCTCGAAAAATAATCAATAGATAAATAAATGAAGATAGTGATTGAACTCAACATTTTTTTGTTTCCATCTCTATCTCTCTCACTTTATCTCTTTCTCTTCCATAATCCAACACAGAGATCTGGTTAAAGTCGGTATATAATGATGATGTTGTTAAAATAAACTATAAGTATACAGAAGACATACGATGTTTAAGTGATTGATGTTGAACCAAATTGATAATATTATTCGGCTTTTATTATTATAATAATCTTTGGTATACTTGATCAAAATCAAAAAAAATTTCCATTAAGGTGTGTGTGTATTATTAATGAATTGGATTTTGATGAAAATGATAAAGGAATTAATTTTTCTAAGCAACAACTAAAACCACATGACACACTCAGATACTAATTTTTATATTTAACAGTAAAATGACGCCTAATCATTATTATCATTTGAACCAATACGATAAACAACAGCAGCAGCACCAACAACAACAACCAAAACAATTGCAATACATACATCTTGTTTCAGATCAAGATCATCATTGTAACTTTAGTTACGGTAACAATATAGTCAACTATAGTGATGATGATGATCGGTGGCTACAGTTAAGTAAATCATGTATTAATAAATAAATAAAAAAATATCAATGTAAGAGATGTACTAAATAGTAATGATGGCGTCGTCGATTATGATGATGAATACAGCTACTTTAAACGATATATCATACAAATCAAAATGAATTAAAATATATTGAATTCAATAATAATCAATGAATAAAATCATCAATATTAATGGGTAACACTACAAATTCGTCACTATTACCATATCATCGATCACAAACTAAATCAGCTAAAGAAATGATGATACAAAGTACAAATTATGAATGGCAATACATGGATATATATCTGGACCTAAGTGAACGTGGTCTTGGCATAAGTATTCGTGGTGGTATTGATTCACCTAATCATGCTGGTTTTCATGATATTTATATTTCACGTATATTAGAAGCCGGTGCCGTTGCACGTGATGGCCGTATACAATTAGGTAAAATATATTTGTTCGAGTTCAAATTTTTAAAAAATGAATTCATTTTAATCCAAAAACATAGGCGATGTGATTGTCAAAGTGAATGGCGAATCATTAGAAAACGTTACACATAAAGAAGCGGTGAATATAATTTTATGTGCCGGTCAATATATGCATTTTCATTTAAAAAGAAGAAAATTCATTGATTCATCGGAGATTTATGAACAAATTGAAGAAGCAAATGAAGATGATGCCTTATTAATCGGTAGTAATCGACAAACAAGTTTTGAAGAAGAATTACTATTTGATAGGCAACAAGTTGTAAAAGGATATAATGATTGTATCAAAGTTGAATTGATTCGAAATATCAATGGATTCGGTTTCAGCTTAGTTGGTGGTCTAGATAATGAAACCAGAGAAGGTGATCCTGGTATCTATGTGAATAATATTATTCCAGATGGTCCAGTTCATCGCAGTGGACGGATAAATATTGGTGATGAAATCGTAGCCATTAATAATACAAATCTTGAATGTGTACCATATAAATGGGCACTTGATGTTATACGAAATAGTCCAGCATTGTCTGTATTCACCATAAGAAAAACAATAAATTGGGATTGATTTTATTGAATTTTTTTCCTAAATATTAGTCCAGTAATCTGTTTACCAATATGACCACCAAATGATAAAGTGGGTGTATCGAATTCATGTGTAAAATGAAAATTGTTTATGTTGTAAACATTGTTTGAAATTGATAAAAAAGCAAAGATTTCTTCTTTTGTAAAATTACATGTAATTATAATAAAATGGCCCTCATTCTTGAGATTATCACATAAGAATTTCAGATATTTCTTTCGATTTTCATGAATATCTGTATTTGGCATCAAACAAATCGCATCATATGTACCTTTATCGATGATAGCATCGAATTTCTGATCAGTTTGAAAGCTATCATCTAAGATATTTACTACTTTAAAATGAATGTTTGATCGATTATGTTGTTTTTGACAAAATTCAATAGCTTTTTCGGAATAATCTAATCCGTATAAATTGGAGAAATTTCGTTGAGCCAATTGAGCTAATACGAAGCCATTACCACAGCCAATATCACAGATAGCATCTGAGTGAATTAGAAATGTAGTTGATAAATTTGAAATAAAAGTTCATTGAGTCGATACCATTTTTTGCGTGATTTTCGCTAACCCAATCGATAATTTTGCGTGTATTCCGTGTACCAAACCATGTTTCACCCGAATCACCAAAATCGATGAAATTAGTCAATTCCTCATCATAAAATTGATCCCAATATTGTTTGGTACCAAGTTCAGATTCGGTGATAAATTCCTCGTTATCTTTCGTTGCCATTTTTTTAAACATTTAGTTATCATTAAAAAAAATTATCATCAGAAAAAAGCACGTGTGGTTCAACTACAAATACGGTGTTTATGAATTGTTCATCAACAATCATCATTTGGCCGATTTTCCAAAAAATTTTGGAAAAAGAGACAAATTAAATTTAGTAATTTTAAATCATGTCTTCAGAACCGAAAACAATAATCATCGATACGGGCAATATATTCAAGTTTGGAATTATCCAACGAAAAGGATTGAATGATGTCAATGTTGAGGTAAAAGAATCATTGGTTTATGGGAAAGGTTTTTATTTTCTGATCCATCTTAATCATTTTCTAGGTTCTAGAAGGTATCGCAAGTGTATTGGATTCATATTCAAACCGTATGGCAAAATGGGATACAATCGAATTGAACGGAAAGGATGTGAAATGCTTACGACTGAATGGAGAAGGAAATAATTCATTTGAAAATCATGATCGTAGTAAATTGAAATTAACGGTAAAATTATTCTTATATGCGGATGCTGAGCAGTCAGATGAATATAAACAACAATTGGCATCTGAATCAATCAATGCTTTGGTTAAATTATTGAATCTAAATCAAATCGATAACCTAATTCTATCCGTTCAAACTGATGATATGGATCAGGTGCTAACAGAGTTGGAATCTTTTTGGACCTTTTATGAAACATTTGTTTTGAATGAAAAAATCCGTCAACTAGGTACAAGTGATTTAAATTTTACTCAATTATCTGATCTTTATGGATGGGCTAAACGGATAAAACCATCATCAACACAGATTAATCTAAATACTTGTTGTGATATTCCTGCCGATTTGTCCGCCTTTGCCAAAGAAAATTCAATACAATTGCTTACACATAATGATCCTGTTGGTAAGTTTTAATTTAATCATAATTGTTGGTTTGTATAATATTCTATATCTTTTTTCGTAGATAATTTTATTCCAATCGAAAGTTTACAAAAATTATTCAAAACAAAGGATGTCTCCTGTTCATTGTTGACCGATAACCAAACACTCAAACGTAAATGGATTGCCCGTTATACATTCGTGTTGCCAGGACAAGGTGTCGTTTTGACCAAAGGATACATGCTTAGTTTGCTTGTTTAATTGAATATTGCATAATAATAGGAAAGGAGAAAACAAATGCTTTAATGTTGTTAATCTAAAAACATTTTTATTATTTTAATTTTTTAATGTCAACACTGAATAATCAAGACAATATATTTCATGACCACCAAACGGAAATGATGCTATCCATTCTTGGTTAGAATTTTTCCACCAAATTTTTCCAATTTGTTCGCTGATTCTATCACCCGTACGAAGTGAACATTTAGCAATAAAATAATTTAGTTTTATTTTTTCATTTTTCAAACATAATTTTTGTTGTTTAGTTCTTTTTTCATCACGATGATGATTATCGTTTATTGAACAATTTCCCATCGTTAATGGAATTTCGATAAATTCATTTTGACGAACGCGCCGTATTTGATAATTTGGAATTTTGGTAACACGACCACGCCAATTGCGACTCCATTGTTGATGCTTATCAAATATATCACGACGATGTCGTCTTTGTCGTTTTCGTTTGGAATGATTATATTTTTTTGGTGTTAAAACATTTAAAAATTCATAATTTTGTTTAAAAAGTTGATTAGTTGAAACAAATTGTTCTATTTGTCGTCCAGCGTATAGAACATTTTCAGGCAATTCAATGACAGGTTTTTTCAATTTAATCCATTCATATTTTGTATGAACATCTTCGATTAATAATTCAAATTGATTGAATTGCCATTCTTTTTTATCATATGCTATCGAACATTTACCAATAGTATGTGAATATTTACCCGGAATAATTTGACCAAATTTATGCGTACGACAGATGAATAGATTTTGACCATCAATATCATGACCAGCATTGAATGGACGAATATTTTCATCATCATATGAAATATTCATTTTGAATGCAAATAATTCATTGTTATTGTGTAATGAACAAGATGAAAATGATATGTACACAATAATAACAATGTAAATATTGATAGATTTGAAAAATTGTTTAAAAAATTTTAATAAAAAAATCATATAATTATTATTATATTGTTTCACAATCATCATCATTATCACCAACTAAAACAGGACAAGGAAATCAAACATTATGAAATATTGAAAAAATAATGATTTTCAATGTCCATCGAATACAGTGTCTAAAATAAATATGATCTTGACTTTGAATTTTGTTTTAACCAAATATTCCATCAAAATTATTAAAACATCATCATTACTGCTTCTATTATTTTTCTCATTTTATCATCATTTGGAATTGTTTTCTCTTCTGTTTTTTAATGATTTTTTTTTGTTGCTCAAATAAAAAAAATTTGTTAATGTTAATTTGATTGAATTGTTCTTTTGTTTTTGTTTACTTGGAAAAAAAATAGGTGATCCAAAATGTGTTACACGAAAAAAAACGTTTGTTTTCATTTCTTCATCATTTTGGAGATGAAATGAAACTTAGATCAAAGCAACAACGACTACTGTCCGATGCTAAACATCATTTTATTAACAACAATTTTATTATGTTTGTGATCATCATTATTATCATCTCATGATGATGATGGCCAATATAATAATGTTGACAAATCATGTATGCACACACAGACAAAAAAAAACTCACTAATTTAAAATAATTTTTCTTTCTCTTTGAGATTTCAACGAAATACTAAAGCGGTTAAAATTTTTTTGATGACACCTGTGAATATTTATATAGTTTTTTTCATTGCTATGTAACAATTCACAGAAGCAAATGACTTTTACTTTTTCGGGCCAATTATCGGCACGCAAACTATCAAATTTTTTAAGTATATAGAAATAATCAAAAACCGCAAGTGATAATTAATTTTCGTTTTCTTTTTCTGTTTGGTAAATTCGTAAAAACCACAAATAAAATTTTGGATTGAAAATTTTCTTTGTGTGTGTGTGTGTATGGTTTTCAAATTTCGATACAACAACAATTTGTTCCTGAAACAAGAAATTTTTCAATCGATTCCAAATAGAGAATGAATTTTTAATGATTTGATAAGAAACATAATTACAGTAACAGATAATAATCACAGTTGACATTATTTTATTTGTTGTTGTCGTCGTCGTTTATTTAATGAAAATTATCGGATTGATCACACACGCAATCAAGAACAAAAGTTTTCAACAAAAAAAAAAAAACATTCATCATTATGATGATGATGATGAGAATAATGATGTGATCCAACGATGATGATGATTTCGTTGACCTTGGACAATTTTGAACATTTTTCATCATTATAATTAATTGTATGTTCATTCATCCTGGATATCATCAAATTTTATTATTTTCGTTTTTTTGTTTTCTAGGTGTTAATATTTATCTTAGTTTTATTTATTTATTTATTTAAAAAGTTAAATTTTTTTTTCTCACAAACAATAATCGGGGACGTATTTAAAATGGAAAGGAATAGATTTACAAATTAATTATTTTTTTTTTTGTTTTTGTTTTTAGAATTAGATTCTCCATAAAACGAGGAAGTAATTTTAAAAAAATTCATCATTTTTTTACGAAACAATCATTCGTATGAATAGATAAGCTATCGATACATTGATTAAGAATACAAGAATAACCAATTTTTGCCTGTTCAACCAATTTATAACACTAGGTGACCATAGATATAATAATGGATTTTGTGATAAACGTTCACGATATTCTTGTTCAATACGACGTTGTTCACGTTGCTGATGTGATAATATTGATGCCTCTTCACGTGACATTAATGGTTTATTAAAATGTTTTGATGCATTTGGCTGTAATGATGGTTTTCGTTTAAAACCACTTGAACCGGATGAATTTGATTGCTGTTGTTGTTGTTGTAATTGTGTGCCTGGTCTATACAACGATGCTGTACGTAAATGCCGCACACCAACATCCGGATTATTATTATCATTATTATTATGACTTTTATCAATGCTATAGTTAATATTTGTACTATTTACATCAATAAATGGGGGTCGATTTCTTGGCTTTAATGGTGGAATAGATTGTATATTTGAATTGAATGATAATGGCGGTTTAGATGCAATCATATTCGATTGTTGATTAGGATTAGGAATTTGTTGTTGTTGATGATGAGGATGAAATGATGGTGATGGTGGTCGAAAAAATGTTGGTGATGGCGATGGTGTTGGTGTTGAATATCCGGTCGTTGTTGAATTGTTAAATGTTGGCGTAATTGATGGTGTAGCTGTTAGTTGTGTACGTGAACCGGATAGATAACGTGCCGATAATGATGTATCGGGTGATTGATCATTACGTTGATAATGATCGAAACGATCACTAAATGCTTGTGATTGAAAAACATCTTTTTGATCTTTATTACCGGTCGATGAATGTTGTGGATATGGGAAACGATTTGCTTGTACATTATTTGGATTGTTTGGATAACCAAAACTTTGTTGTTGTTGATTATGTGAAGGATGATAACCATATCCTTGTTGATGTTGCGGATGATTAACATTCGAATTATTGTTGAGCAATTGGGTGCGAAATGATCCTCTTCGTCCACCGAAAGGTTCTTTCGGATTTAAAAATTGACCACTATCAGATTGCTGTTGTTGCTGCTGTTGATCAAACATATTCGGTCCTGTCGCTCCTTGTTGTGGCTGTCCTTCACGCATACGACGAACATGTGAAAAATCCGATAATCGTCTACGAAGCGGCGCAATCGAACCTTGCCCTGCTAGATCAGCACCACCATATTGTTTAGCGATGATAATTGCCATTTGGGAATCATTTTGTGCTGAACTAGCAGCATAATCGGCTTGTTCACGTTTTGATCGTGCTGTTGAGGTTCGTGATGCGGCAATATCAGATTTTTGAAGAGCAATCTGTTGGGCACGATGTGCTTCAGCGACAGCCGATTCGATGCGTTCACGTAATTTATTACTACGCATCATGAAAAGATGTTTTTTTCGAATATTTGTTATGAGTACATTATTCTTATATTTGCCTTCTTCACGTTGTCCATCGGGGAATGTTGTAACACCATAACCATATTTTTTATTATTATACCATTCACCTTCATAGCGGAGACCATCACTGCGTTCGCACACACCGAATCCAGAACGTTTATCATTTTTCCATTCACCATGATAAATTTCCACAGTGGTCGGATCAGAAATTTCACCATCCTGCGATAGAAAACTTGCATTCGATCCCATATCTCCTTGTGATGCCTGTAAATCTTTTGATCCTGTCGAACGTGTTTCGGATTCTTCACGTGAACTTCTCAATGATGGTGTCATTGATTTTTGATTACGGGCAAGATCTAGATCACCGGTTGAACGTTGTTTTCGTAGTCGAAGACCTTTAAGAAAACCACCGGTTAATGATGTATTTGATGTAGCTTTTTCCGTTAAAGAATTTCGTCGTTTTGATCGAAGTTGTTGTTGTTGTGCAGCTGATACTTTTGCCACAAGAATGAAACCACCACGACAAGCATCTCTACGTTCACCATGTTGCATGTTTGGATCTTCACCTTCTGTATCCAATGACTGTAATGAAGAACTTTTATTCGGGCCTTGTTGATTAGCCATTTTAGTTATACTGGAATGGCCATATTGTGCGGATGTACGTATACCATATCCATGTCTCATACCACGTAACCATTGGCCTAATTAACGAAAAAAATGAAACAAAAATCTATTTAGATTAGTAAATTTGTACTGCATACATACCTTGATATGTGCCGCCATCTGCATATGTTTCTGAACCATAACCATCCTGTAATCCATTGGCCCAAGTTCCTTCATAACGTGCATTACTTAAAAGACTTGCCCGTATACCATAACGTCCTTTATATCCTTGCGTCCATTCACCTTTATATACCCATTTACCACGATATTCAACACCGAGACCATGACGTTTACCATTTTGCCATTGTCCTTCATATGTTGCACCAGAAGGCCATTTATAAATACCGGATACTTCAAAACCATAATGCCATGAACCAGAATATTCTCCTTGTCCTTTTGGTCCGGTACAAATACCATGTCCATGTGCTTTACCATCATGCCAACCACCACAATAAGTACCGCCATCATCAAAATCAAAACGGCCACCACCAATTACTGTTTGTCCTGTTGTTAGATTTTGTTGACCGGCTGTATTATTCATTGTGGGTGTTGTTGATTGTGGTAGAACATAATTCTGTGCCATTCGATTTGATTATTATTATTTTGATTTTTTGAATAAATTCTTTTTTCCGGCTTATCAAAATTGGATTATAAATTGATTGAATAGCTGATGAAGGATTTTTTTTCTGCTACGTTGCAAGTATTTTCAATATTTTTTCATCATCATTCGAGTTATAAATAATCATTCTATCAAAATAAAACCAAAAAAAACAAAACAAAAAAAACATTCAATGATTAATGATTGGAAATGAAAAGAAAACAACCCAATCGAATGAATTTTAATGGCCGAATTGCAAAAAAAAATCAAATTTTTCTAACCACAAATAATCAACAGAAAAAAGCATTGAACGAGAAAAAGTGAAAAAGAGGAAGAGAGAAAGGAAAAAAACCGAAACAAAACTTCGAAGACGATGATGATGATAATATCATCAAAAATTATATTCTATAGAATAATTAGATTTACTTTCAAATGGGGAAAAAGACATGAAAGAATTCAACAATACACAAAGAATGAGGAATTTATTTTCTCTTGAAATTTTTTTTTGTGTTTCAAAAAACACACACACAAACCATCAATGGCATTCGATGATCATTACCACTACTAACAACATTGAGTGATGGTAAAAAGAATAAGAATCATTTTGCATTGGATTTTTGTTTTCTAATTGAATATTATACTTATTATATACAAAATATATATATTAATATGGCTAAAAATATCATTTTTGAAGGCAAAATTGAAAGGAATTTATCTATTTCTTGTGTACAATACACATACAAATACAACAAAGACAAGTTTATTAAGAAAAAACTATACACTTGAAAATTTCTTTTTTGTCTGTGTGTGTGTGTGTTTGCTCTAAAAAACCGACACAAACAGAATATTCATATGGATGATAGTCTAGTAGAATGTATGGGGGAAAAGGAAAAAAACATCATTTAAAGCAACCAAACTTAAACCAGCTGTTGCTTGTCTTTCTCAATTGAATTTAGTTTAGTTTAGCATAGAATAAAAGATCACATTGCTTCCAAAAAAAAAAATCTGATTCTTCTTTTCATTTTATTTGCTAATTTATAATCCACCACCAACACTACCAACTTCATCGTAAGCTATTATCATTAATAGAATTATTAAGAATATAAATGTTTCGTCTAAATATTACCATCATTGGATGAAGAGATGAAAGAATGGATGGTGAAGAAAAGAAAAATAAAACAAATTTACACATTTGCACATTTGAAATTAGAGAATGAATGAAAAGAATTTCGGTATTTTTATATTTCTGTTCTCTCTGTCTTTCACTTCTGTTTTGTGAATGTAGAAATTGATATTTTGAAAAAATAAAGGATTAACATTGCAATGATTGTATACATAGATAAGAATAAATATTGAAAATTTTATTTGATTAAACTTACAGTTATTTTAATAATGATTTTTTTTTATTGATTTGTTTTTTATCTGAATAAAATTTGTTTGTTTTTGGAATTTTTGTTTGGATTGAAAAAAAATTTATTTTCAAAATTGATGAATGTTGTTTGCAAGAAATATTTGATCCCAATCATTGTTGATCTTGATTTGATATGGATCAATTTAAAACATAATTATCGAAGTTTAAAGGTTCTAATTCTTATTAGTTTTGAAACACATTTACAAAAATTAATACAGAAATTTTCGAATGATACTGAAAAAAAATGATGATATATACCTTCACCACAGACAAACTTTGAATTTGGATTAATAGCCGGAATGATTGTGATCACCACCATCAGATGATGATCATTATTTCATTTCTTTCGTGGTAGTGGTTGTGGTTGATGTAATTGATCAAAGTCAAGTGTAGAATGCAAAAACAGACGTTCATTTTTTGTTGTTGATGGAATTCTAGAAAGAAAGAATTAAGGAAAGAATTTTTTTCTCTTCTTTACGAAGGAGACGTTTTGAAATGTTTAGTCGGTCGGATTTAATGAATTTTGATTTTCGAAATGAATAAAATGTTTCTTTTTTTTCTTGTCAAGTATTTGACAAGTACTGTGATAATATTAAAAACAATATTCAATCAATTAATCAATCAATCAACAAATTAATCGATAAATTGATCATAAATAAAAACATCATCATTCGTTACAAATTAAACCGAAATCAAAATTAAAAAAATCAAAATTTCAATGTTAAAATATTCCGTCAAAAGATGGCGTAATAGTGTCATTAAAAATCAGAATAAAATAGTTCCCGTTGTTCAAAAAAAAAAACTTAATTTCAGTTATTCTCTATTTTTATTGCTTTATATCAGATGACAGAATTTGCCAATGAGAAGTTGGATAAGTAAAACCGAACAAAATGAAATTAATTTACAACTTTCACCCAATTATAACAAACAACAAACTTGAATTGATCTAATCGAAAGCGAAAAAAAACACGCATTGAAATTTCATGTCGGTTGTTCAAAAACAGTTCGAAAAGAATTTCTATTTATATAATCGGTTACGGTGAAAGTGAATCCAAACAGAATGTACGACGAAATAGATTTGTGATGTCAGTCAATGTTTTGATATATTACACGAGATGGTTGTAATTTATGCTTGATTATTTTGATGTCGAATGTACTGTGTGTCTGTGTGGGTGTGGATGCTTTTATGTATATACGTTACTACTACGAACATCGTTATTTGCTAATATCATTTAGTAAGAATATTGGTGGTTTTTTTTTTGTTACGAGTGACAATTTGATGTTGTTTTTTTCGATGCCAACATCATTAGTCAAAATATCGTTATATTCGTCAATAGAATAATTCGACCTGTTTTATATTATTGAATACTAAAGGGACAAAAAAATGGCAGGTAAGAATCTGAATTTGGATTTTATGATGTTTTTTTCTAAAATTTCTTTTCTGAATTTATTGATGGATTGATGTAGCTTCATTGAATGCATTCGAAGATCTAGTAGCAAACCATTTGCAACCATTCATACAGTTCAGTGGCCAAATTGGTGGACTAGTACAAGAACAGGCTCGATTAACTATGGAAGCATTTAAAGAACAACGAAAATTCATTGAAATGGCATCACAAATGGCTAAACCATCAAATGATGCACAATTGATGCAATTGTTGCAGCCGATTTCACAATTAATCACACAGATTCAGGCAAATATTTGACAAATTTGATGAAACTATATTTTTTTCCTTTTTTTTGATGAAAAAATTCATGAATTTCAGGAAATTAAAGAACGAAATCGAAAACATGAACATTTCAATCATTTGGCTGCCGTTGCCGAAGGCATAGCTGCTATTGGTTGGGTAACCGTTGCTCCAACACCAGCACCATATGTGAAAGAAATGTGTGATTCCGCTCAATTTTATACAAACAAAGTATTGGTTGCATTCAAAGATAACCCAGTTATGATCCATCATATTGAATGGGCTAAAGCATGGATCAGTTTCTTGACAGAATTACAAAAATATATTCGGCAACATCATACAACTGGTTTAGTTTGGTCATTGTCAGCAATATCATCACAAGCCCCACCACCTCCACCACCGCCACCACTTCCCGTTGGATTAGATTTGGGTCCTGGTGGCGGTAAAAGCAGTGCCGATCAAGCTATGGATGATGCACGTGCTGCATTGTTTGCATCCATCAATAAAGGTGAAGATATAACAAAAGGATTACGAAAAGTAACTGCCGATCAAATGACGCATAAAAATCCATCTTTAAGACCAACAAATATAGTAACGGAAACGAAAAATCTATCTATTTCACAGCAAACAAAAGGAGTTACACAACAACCTGAAAAACTATGTCTAGAAGGTAAAAAATGGATGGTTGAAAATTTTAAAGGACGACAAGATTTATTATTGGATGATACTTATTTACAACAATCTGTCAATGTTTATCAATGTGAAGATTGTGTATTAACTGTTAAAGGAAAAGTAAATTCAATCACAGTGGATAAATGTAAAAAATTTGGTATCGTTTTTGATAGTATCGTTTCAGTTGTCGAATTTATCAATTGTCAACGGATTAAAGCTCAGGTAATAATCATCAAATATTACTAAAGATTTTAGAAAATTTTTTTTTATTTATTCATCACTGAATTAATAACAGGCAATGGAAAGTGTACCAACAATAACAATCGATTTTACCGATGGTGTTGAATTATATCTTGGAAAACAATCATTAAATGTTGAAATAATTAGCTCAAAAAGTTCATCAATTAATGTTTCGGTTCCGGCACCGAATGGAGATTATGTAAGTTTTCAAAACAAAACAAAAAAAAATTGTGTAAAACAAACAATGAAAACAGCAATAAGAAAAAATTATTGATCGATATCATTGATAATTAATATTAATTTTCTCCTTCCTTTCTTTTTTTTTTCACCATGTCTGTCGATCGTCGATCATAATTAATGTTATATTACTGTGATTCTCTGTTTGTTTGTTTTTTTGTTTTTATTTCAATTATTATTAATTTTTTTTCATCTCTTTTCTCTTTTTTCTTGTCTAGGTCGAACATCCGATACCCGAGCAATTAAAATCCACATGGAATGTTAAAGGTTTTCATACCGAAGCTATCAGCAAAAATTAATTGATTTTCGTTACTTTTTTTTTTGTTTTGTTTTGTTTGTTGATGATAAAAATAAATGAACAAACAATAATGATATGAACAAATGTTTTCACATCCAGAATCGTTCCAACAAACATTGAAATAAAATGAAAAAAAAACAAGAACAAATTTCCGTCCACACAGACAATTGTTTTCAAAATAATAATAATAAAACATAAATTTTTTGTTTTGTTTTCATTCATCTTGAGAGAGTTGGTCAGTTGTTGTTTTTTTTTCATTTCATTATTAATATCGTAAAACATAACATTCAACTATTCGGTCGGTTAGATTCATTCTTCTTTTCGTTTTTTGTTTTAATATTTTTTTTTGTTTTCATTGGAATTTCTTTTTTGGTGAGTTGGTTCGGTTTGGTTCAGTCGGTATCAATTTTTATTAGTATTTTTGTTGTTGCTGTTGTTTGATTGAAAATAATAATAATAATAAATTATTATTGATTGATTATCCTTATTCACTAATGGTAAATAAAAAAATTCAAGAAATAGTTTGTTTTGATTAAAATATTTTCACAATGATTTCCTCTACACGTGTGAAAATTTTGTTTTCCAACATTATTGTTATATTTTTGGCTGGTAAACAAATTGTGACTTTGGTAGAAATAGACATGGATTTTTTTCTTCTTGTTCCGTTTCCTTAAAAAATAATCAAACTATACAATCTTATGCATTTATTTATTGAATAAATTGGGTTGAAATATAATTCAATTAACATTTTGTTGTTTTAGTTGTCGTTGTTGTTGTTGTTGTTATTCATGTTGTCAATTGTTGTTGTAGCTGTATTTTATTCTTATTCTTTCATTCGCTTTATATTTATTTGTTTGGCAATCTTCATCTTGTTACATGTCAAGTGTTCTTTCTTTCTTGTTATCATTTTGCACTTTTACTTGTTCTTTGTTTGTTTGTTTATCAGAATGTTTTTCCAATTTATTCTTATTTATAAAGGATTCTTCAAAAATTGTACCCTTTTTTTCGCTTACTTTCCATTAAAGTTAAGATTGTTTTGGCATGATTAGAACAAAAATCGTGATCATACTAAATAGAATTTTAGGCAAAAAATATGAACAAAACGAAAAAAAAAATTCCATATCATATGGATCATTAGCATTGAACACACGTGTCTGTGACATTAAAATAAGGGATCCGAAAACAAAAAGTTTGATTTTCTCCATCCAAAAAAAAAGTTGTCAGTATCCAGATAATGATAATAGCAATGATGATGATGATAATCAAATGTTGACAATACATGAACACACTTGAAGTAAGAGAAACAGGAAGAAAAAGCTCTTAACATAAAATAACGAAAAAGAAGTATGTACTTGACAAATTTATTATTAGGTCCAGGCCATAGTATAAAATCAATCGTCTACATAATAATAATGATGATGATTGGGCGTTTGATTATGGTATGTTATAAGAAAAGGTTCATCAAAGGTTTTTCATACCATGTTCATCATCATCATCGATTCTAATTGAACACCTCAAAGGTTATTATATTTTTAGTTTGATGTTAATTACATCTTAATGATCATTTTATTATTATTATTGATGAATGAAGTGAAAAAAAATGTTAGAACCGTAGGTTTTAGAAATCTTGCGAAAAAAAACCGAAAAGTTTACTAACAAATGAAGCTAGACTGTAAAAAAAAACTTGAAAAGTAAATTTGAAAGATTGCAAAACTTTTTTTTCTCATTATATAAATAGAATTTGGATAAGAATTTTCTTTCGAAATCAATATGGAATCGAGACTAAGGAAAAAAACGAAATGGACTAAAATGGACGTATAAAGAAAGTTTTATCAGTCTCTAAAGAGACCAAAAAAAAATTGGATTTCGAAAAATTCGATTGTTGTTGTTGTTCCTGACGGCGACGACGATGATGATGATGTTATTTTTTTGACTTTTGCATGAGTGAATTTTATCCTTATTCATATACCATTCACTTTACGGATATTTCCAATTGAATGAACAATATTACCTTGGCTTTTAGCATCAGGATTTTTTTCTCTCTTTCAACCAAACAGAAAAACAAGCAAAACATAAGAAAAGTTGTAAGAATCAGTGTTGATGAAGGAAAAGTCACAAGAAAGAGGTAAAAATGTGAAGGAAAAAAAACTTTTTTCCTATTCGGAACAAATTCTTTTTTTTACTACTTTTTCTTATGATCAATATAATGTTTGACTATATTCGATTTATCAAAGGCAAATAAGAATTTTGTATTTTTTTCCAAATTTTGAATGTAGAACTAAGAAAAATCGATAATAAAATAATTAATTAATTAATTATAGAATTGATTTTTCAATTAATTTATTTAAATTCTGGTTTTTGTTTATGAAATATTCAATGGTAATTCATTGATAAAAGTTTGATTTTAAACTTATCAACGGAGAGCAAAAACAAAAATAATTATCTTGTATCAAATGTTCATTCCTTCGATATATTTTATGTTTTTTTACTTTCATTTAGACTTTGGTATGATTTATTCTTCTTAATTTTTCCTTTTGGTACAATTTTTTTATTTATTTTGTCCCTTATTATTAATATTATGTGCTATGTCGACTGTAAAATTAAACGCAAACATCCAATGAAAATGGATGATAAAGAAAAAGAAGATAGTTATGGAGAAAATCGCATTGAATGATGATGAAAAAGAAAAACTCAATCAACATCAATATCTATGGGCTGTAAACATAAAAAACAAGAAATAAATAACGACAGAAGGAATTAGGTTTAAACAAATATTCCAAGTCTATTATATAAATATTTAAGAAGTGTAGTAAATAAGTAGTTTGTCTGTTGTCTATAAACTTTAGATCTTATTAAATATTTCATTTGACGTATAGTCGGGAATCGATTAAATTTCACTATTTAAAAAAATTCTGTTGCCTTTGTAAAAAGTGAAAACAGATAAGAAAATTCCAACTAATTCTTCTTCTTTTTTTCAAATGAAAGAATAACAAATAGCCATTTCATCATCACTATTTTTTTAAGGTCTATGGGATTCGCTTTTCTTTTTTGGCCACCAACAACAAATTGATCTTCGATGATCCGATGATATTATGTATGTGTTGGAATCTGTTGGTTTAAATCTTTTTTCCTTATCATTTTTTGCTTGTAAATGATTATTGTGCTACATTTATTTCAACCGACCAAAAAAAATCCACAATGAAAAAAATACCGAAAACAGATTCTGTTTAATCTAAATTTTGATTTCTTTCACCCTGTTTTAGCTATTTGTGTGCTTAAGGTTGTTCATCATGTTAACAAAAAAATAAAAGTTATCCAATATCAAAACATAATAAGCTTTAATCATGATGATTGTTTACAATTTCAACCAATTTTATTTTTCGTTTTTGATTTAGTTCAAGTAAACAGTGATTGAATCAATGCTTAAACATCATTCAAAAAAAACTCTTTCGTTTTCCCCATGTAGATGATTTGTTCATTCAATTTGTATAAGATTCAAGTTAGTGAATGAATGAAAAAATTCAATTTTCAAATGAATGTGATGATGAACAAATTGAAAATGAATAGTTATTTTATTTTTTTTCATTTCAAAGAATCACAGTGATTTCAATTACGAAAATGGATCGATTTCGATGATGATGATGATGATGATGACAAACATTATCTGATCATCAAATTTGATTCAAACAAGTGAAAAATCATCAAATAAAATGAAAACGAAACGAAGAGCAAAAGAAGAGAAAAAAAGGTTTGATGGTCAAATATCGTTTGATTTCAATTTGTCAATGTTATTGATTTTTTTTTTCTCGTTTGTTTGTTTGTTTGTAGTTGAGAGCAAAGAATGTTTTCAAGTGAAAAACAAATTATATAATCGGATTCGATCAGAATTCCAAATAAGAATTCTTGAGTGGTACGAGAAAAACAAACCGAAAAAAAAAACATTTTCCTTGTCCCGAACAATAAGTGGAAATGATTATGATTTTGTTCAACCATCGAATACATATACGAATATAAATATATCATATTACCGTTAGAGGATGGCAAATCGTTTTTGTTCATTTTTTTCTCTTCTTCTTGCCTTACTGTTCTTCAAACAATTTTTCAATGTCCAAAAAAAAATTATCGATCAATTTCTTCTTCATTTTTCCTGCTAAATAATCTTTGGTTTAAAATAAAAATAAAAAAGATTTGATTCTTGAATCAAAATTTTAGAAAAAACATTAAATGAATTTTTTTTAACATAACAGTTATCCAAGATCAAAACGTAAATAAAACCACCATCATGATGATCTTGATTCATTTGTTTAAATATATTAGTAGAATTATTTTCACCCACCAAATATCACATTTATCACACCCAATATTATTTTTCATGAAAAAAATATGGAACAAAATACATACATATATGATTCGCCGCCTGTCAAATATAAAAATATGATGATTTTCATAAAACATATGAACCATGTATACAATATGAACGAATGAGGAGAAAAAAAAACAAGGATTGAAAGTTCCTGAAACTTTCAATCTCCCAAGAGCTCTATGCTATTTTATTCGCTCTGATATTGGACACAATTTTGATTGGACGTAGAGAATGTGTGAGAGAGAGAAAGATAGACAGATAGGAAAAAAAAAAGATTTGACAGATTTTTTTTCTTCTTCGGTTTTGTTTATTTCTCAATATCTCACACATTTTGTTTGCGATTTATTTTTATTTTATTCTATTTTTTCTTTCCCATCACGCATCATTTTTTTCATGGTAAATTTCATTGAAAGTAAATTTTTTGTTTTGCAAAGAAACAAAATATGAATGTGAAAAAACAAAGAATGGGAAAGAATCCATTGCATTATGGCTGAAAAAATTCACAGAATTTAAGTTTTATAATCAGTAAAAGAATGCTGGTTTATTTTGTTGTTGTTGTTATGTTTGTTTGGTATTCAGTTATCAAATAGAAATAGGATTTGAGGGTTGATTTTTTTTTAGTTGTTTTTTTTCCCATTTTGTTCCAGTTGTTGTATTTTGGTTTTGGAGAAAAAAAAAATATTCTTTTCATTTTGTTTTTTTGTTTTTGTTTTTTGGTAAAGTACAAATTCACGATGATGATTGATAATGCT